CAAGAAATGTCTGGCGGTGTGCATTTGAGGAAATGAAGTCGGCGACTCCATTCATACTGGTGACAGACGTTATGAACAGATGTCAGCAAACGTTGGAAAACCTTCGAAATACTTACTTACTTGCACTCAGTACGGCTACGATCATGCCTGAGCCAGCCGGCCTCAATGATGTCCCAAACAGTACCTCTCCACGCCTGGCGATTCGCGGCAGCATGTCTGGAGAGTTCAACCCCTTCTCTTTGTCACAACGGAGACTGAATACCGAAGTTCCAAGAACCACCTCCATGTCTTGACCAACTATGTCGAGTCAGTTTTCGAGTTGATCCCCTCATCGGCACCTGCAATTGGGCAACGGTACCGAATCGAGGGCAGTAACGCTGATTTCCTGAGGTAGACGACGAAAAAAATGCCCAAACCACCTCAGTCATCTTTCTTGGATGACCTCGGTTTTACTTGCAATGTTGTCGTGGCGAGCGTGAACTGTCTCACTTAAGACAAAATCGGTATTCTTGACTCGAAAGATGGCCCATAAGCAGTGGTGATCAAATACCTCCGGTTTTCGCTCACGCGCAAAGCCCGGCATTCACAACCGTAGAGAAGATCACAAACTTTGTCCACATCCGCATTATCTATATGATTGCTGAAGTGTTATCAGAACTCAGGTACGTATTGGTACCGTTAGCTTTTTCGATCTTGGTAACCCAAAGTTCAAGCAATATCCCGCAGAGAAGAACAGACTGGACAGATCGACGGTACACGCAAATCTTAATGGCAATGGTGAGGTCGCGTCGGATCCATGGGCATTTTCGAAAGCTTGATAAATCTCATCCGGCAGTATCGATTCGGGAGACAAGGTCGTCCTCATTCTGTCCATTCGGCATCAGCCTCGATCTGCGGTATTTAAAACCGCCTTCTTCTTCTTCTTCTTCAAGTTGACAGCCATCAATCCGCAGAGGTGCCTTCTCCTGGTCAGGTATACAGCTTGAAACCTCTTTAGTCTTCCCAGCCTTTATGGCTAAACCGACCGATTTAGCGACCTCGTTTACCCCTAGAGTCACGCACAGCACGAAACCGTCGGAGTGGGACAACGCTGAAGATCTTCGCCGCAACGTCGATGGAGCTTAATCCGCAGTAGTTCTCGGATCTCGTCTTAACTCCCTTCTTGAGGGTAGGTACAAGTATGTCTAAGTCCCAATCATCGGAGGCAGCCTCGTTTGTCCACGCTTGTTCAATCACCTCATGGAGCCAGGGCGTCGACGCAAGACCTGCTGATTTCATCGGGTAAACCGTCCTCTCCGGGTGCCTATTTGTTGCGTAGCTTTCGTATAGCATCAGTGATTTGCATTTCAGATGGAGGCTCGCATGGCACTGCATAGGTTGGAGGGGGAAGAAACGGCGCTGGAGAGGAGAGCAAGGGGCTGATGTGTTGGGTATTGATTTAAGGATGGTGTTCGATGTGCTCACGCCAGCGCCCGACTTTAGCCGAGTTGTTGGCAATAGAGCCGCCGTTCATGTCGCAAACAGCGACTGAAACTGACAAAAATCATGCTGGGAGACTTTCTGGCCACAAATAATTGTTTATTTTGACTACGCTAACGTGCCTACTGTAGAAATACACCATCCTCGGTGCTGCATTTACAGGCATTAAATAAAAAACCATTGTAGCAATAATGACAAATCACGCAGGTACTCGCCGTGTGTCGTGGTTTTGGTTCTCGGTTCCGTTAAGTCTTTCCCTCTTGACAACCAAACGTTCCACTATTACGTCCAAACTCCAGCTACCACGTCTTTGGCGCCAGCAAACTCCATTTTGTGCCTGATGCGTCCTCCCAGACCGATTCAAACGGTAGCCATCATTGATCGCGGCCGTGTTCGTCTTACAAGGTCGCGTAGTGTGAACGCGAAATGTGCGGACTATGGCA